TCATTCATCACTCCCAGGCCATGTTTGCCCATTACGGTTTCTAAGTTAATATTGTCTTCTCCAACTTTAGCGTTCATATCGCCCATTACTATTAGTATATCGCCTTGGTTTACTTGTTGCCTTGTGTAGTTGTAGTTAATTAATTTCACTAATAAAAGGATATGTATGGTTGAGTTACCGATGTAATTTCCCGAATTGCCACACTAAAATGGAACTGGGCCGGACACGTCGCCCGAATTAGTGATGAAAGATGGACGAAGAGATTGCTTGAGTGGATGCCGAAATTAGACAAAAGAAGTAGAGGAAGACCCCCTCCACGATGAACTGACGATCTCAAGAAAATGTCAAGAAATTTGATAAAAAGTGCTCAAGACAGAGCACAATGGACAAATATGAAGGAGGCCTATGTCCAGCAGTGGACGCAAAGGCTGGGTAGTGATGATGATGATAGTTGAATACAGAATAATGCATAATTGTTTAGCATTACATATTATTAACGCTTTAGATAAGATGTATTAAAAAAAACAAGTGCAGCTATAATTTTGTTTTCATGTAAGTAATAACAACAATTACATATATAAAATTTTTCCCTTGTATACAGGGTGGATCACCACTAACGGAACGGAAGATTACAGCAAAAGAGTAAAAAAAAAATAAATTAGTTTGTAAGTTGATAAAAGCTACATTTTAAATTTATTTTAAAATATACAGGGTGTCCCAACAAATTTCGGTGTATCAAAGTTATATTTTATCTTCTTATTCTTCTTCCTCTTTATAAGCAATCCTGCTTGTTCATTGGCGGATTGATACCTCTATGAAAGGTTGTCACTCCATCTTTTGCGCGGTCGGCCGATACTTCTTCTACCGATTAATGATTTATCTCTTGCTATTTTGACCACACGTTCCTCCCTCATTCTGCTTTTCACTTTTGCCGGTCTATTATTTTCAAACTTTTTGAATTTGGCACTTTGTGTCCGCCAATTTACACACTATCACATAATTTACTCACCGCAATATTAACATCATCCTCATCTTCTTTATCATCGCTATCACTTTCATTACTGTCAGTGTCAACCGTCATATTTATTACCACAGAATCAATATCGTCCATCAATCGTCAATAACCCAAAATGTTTGCTCTTCCTTAATATCCAGTTTACAACAGTTTATCCAATTTTCCACTGTTACTACACCCCATGCTTTTCTTATTAATTGTTCCATAGCGGAGGTCTTAACTCTGTGTTGTGTGAGGCAATATGTCTTTTGACTTGACTCCATACCATTTCAATTGGATTTATTAACTCACAATGGTATGGAGGTAGTCTCAGAATGGCAACATTTGACTCTTTTCACATCTTGTCGATTTTTTATTTATGTATTTTTCTTTACTATTACTAATGGAAGAACGACGAAGACACAAGAATAACCAAGATGGCAGCAATATGTATGAAAACATTAACAGGCAAATAAAAGCAAAAATAAGAATAGCAAAAAATGAATGTCTTAAGCAACAATGTATCGATCTAGAACATTTACAAAGACAACACGACGACCGTAATTTACATAAAAAGCTTAAGGAGACTGCTGGAATATACAGAAAACGAAGACCAACTACCATAGTTAATCAGGATAACCAGATAGTGCTGGGTGAAAAGGAGAAAATTGATATATGGAAAATTATATCCAGGAGCTCTTCCATGACGAAAGACCCATGAGTGAAGTTTATACAGACGACCAGCTGACTGGCCCTTCAATCACCAAAGAGGAGATAGAAAAAGCAATATTAAATTCAAAAAACAATAAGGCACCTGGACCAGATGAGATCCCGTCAGAAATACTCAAACTACTAGATGAAAGGGGAATTTCAGCACTACACAAAATATTTAATTTAATTTATGAAACTGGCTGCTATCCTCAACAGTGGTTACGCTCTACCTTTATTCCCCTGCCCAAGAAAGTCAATGCAAAAAGATGTGAGGATCACAGACTCATTAGCCTGATGAGTCACACTTTAAAGATATTCTTAAAAATACTACATCAAAGATTATACAAAAAATGTGAATGGGACATCAGTGATTCACAGTTCGGGTTTAGGCAAGGTTTAGGAACACGAGAAGCAATAGTAGCAACACAGGTACTGGTCCAAAATTGTTACGATCAGAGGAAGGATGTGTTCCTATGCTTTTTAGATTACAAAAAAGCGTTTGATCGTGTCCAACACCACAAGTTAATGCAGATTCTCAAGAAAGTTGATGTAGACCAAAAAGACATAAGATGCATTGAAAACTTGTACTGGCATCAAACGGCACAGCTAAAAATAGACAATTCTATATCTAAGCCCATACATATAAGAAGAGCGTTCGACAGGATGTGTGCTTTCCCCTCTTTTATTTAACATTTATTCAGAAGCCATATTTCAAGAGTCTTTGGAGGATGCAGAGATGGGAATTAAGGTGAATGGAGTATTGATCAACAACATAAGATATGCTGATGATGGTGTCTTAATTTGTGACAACATAGTCGATCTTCAACAACTTGTCACTATAATCGGAGAATACAGTGAGCGAATGGGACTAGAGATTAATACCAAAAAGACCAAATTCATGATCATCTCCAGAAACTTGGATGCATTTGAAAACTCCACCATAACACTGTATAGTAAATCCATAGAAAGAGTGAGTAAATTTAAATACCTGGGATCGTGGCTTTTTGAAGACTGGGCATCGGACAGGGAAGTAAAATGTCGCATTGAGCAAGCTCGACAAGCTTTCGTAAAATTCAAGAAGGTACTGACTTGTTCTGAGTTCGATCTTCAACTGAGACTAAGGTTTACTAAGTGCTACGTATGGCCAGTGCTGCTATATGGCGTAGAGGGCTGGACACTCAAAACGAGGGATATAAACAGATGGAAGCTTTCGAAATGTGGCTTTATCGCCGTATCCTAAAAATACCATGGACAGCGAAAATCACAAATATAGATGTCCTTAAAAAATAAACCAAGAACGCCAACTTTTCGAAACCATCAAGAAAAGGAAAACGGCGTATCTAGGTCACATCATGCGAAATGAAAAATACCAGTTCCTCCAACTTATAATCGAGGGTAAAATTGAAGAGGAATGGGACGCAAGAAAATGTCCTGGCTCCGAAACATAAGGCAATGGACAGGGATTAACGACATACAATCTCTGATACATATTGCAAGAAATAGAGAGTTAATGGAAAATGTGATCGCTAACATCCATTAGTGGATTTGCATCTGAAGAAGAAGAAGTATTTTTCTTTGTATGTGTTTACGACTTCCATGAGCTCTGATTTTAAATAATCTTCAAAAAAGATATATTTCTCCAGCAACCATGTCTTAATTTGATCTTGGGTCGGAATTATTTCTTCTCTCCTCGAATGGTACGAAGCGTTGTCCATCACCACAACAGTTTTCTCTGGAAGATTAGTAAGCAGCTTTTCCTTAAATAGCTAAAAACCAAAAAGCAGTACCTTCTACAAAGGCCAATTCGCTACCCGCATGCACTATAACAAATCGGGGACCTCGTTGTGTCGGCTGTTTTAGGCCTGTTGACAATCCCTTAACAAACGCATCCCTGGTTGAAGTTACTGAGAGCTCCTACCATTCTTTGGAAACACTATGTCCAACATTCACCCAAATTTTGTCCAAATAAACGACGGTGTACCTTTGAGAACGAAATTTTTTTATCTCACGCAATTACTGATGCCTCCATTTTAGAATATGGGGCCGTTCAATCATGCTTGACTTTACTCCTCGTTTGCAAAAAACAAAGTTCATTTCATGGAGTTGTGCGTGACATGTTTGCTAAATCTTTGTCTTTTTTAACCAGTGCAAAAACGTTGTTCAATGTCGGCGGTAAATTTTTAAAGACAAAACTATGGACGATCGCACGTCGACGCGTATGCACTACTGCATCGTAAGTGAAATTTAAATATCAAGATGATTTTTTTAAGGAAATGTTGAAAAAAGATTATTAATAAGAAGTAGACGCTGGAACCCTTATTTTTATAGTAGTTTTGATATAAAGGGCTCATGACGTCGACAGCGATCGATGTGTGCTTTATTGATTTCGAAAAAGCATTCGAGAACGTATACCATCGCAGACTGCTGCAAATATCTACTAAAGGAATATAGAATCGATAACAAAGGTTTGCGACTAATCCGAAACTTATACTTACAACAAAGAGTGATATTACTCAATATGAACTGCAAAACACTGTTCAGAGAGACTCTAACGAAATAAGACAGGGTATAAAAATTAATTGTGAATGCCATAACAACTTGATACGTGGATGACAAACTTTAGGCAGCTGATATAGCGGAACGTCTGGAGATACCAAAGAGTAGACCTTGCAGTGGAAGTCTAAGAAGACAAAAAAAACCTTGACCCAATGTATCAAAAATGTATATTTCATTTTTACAATATTGTAGATATAGGAAAACCGAATAAGGAGGAAAGAGAAGAAAAATCCCGACAATAAAAAATATTTTAGTAATCGCAAGTCGTAAATTTGATTTATGAAAAAGGATAAAGCAATAGAACAGAAGATGTTTGACATCTCTAAAAAAATTGCGCTAACTAAAATACTAAATTATTCAGTTTAAACCCAAAAAAATATCATAAAGTCACTCTTTAAACTCTTATATATGCAAATACATTATTTGGTGCACATGTACTGAGTGTAAGCAAACACTACTCATTAAATTATATGCACTTGCAATTGTTTAGCTTCAATTTATAATAAAAACTACGCTAAATTGAACAGATTATAGTATACTATAATGAAGACTTATATAAGCAATAATTAGTAAACATACTGGCAGAAATTAATGGATTATTTCCTAAACAAAATCCCACCAATGGCAACAAAGCTACAAATAGATCAAGTTCATTGAAACATGTGTGTGCGCTCAATAATAAGCTAGTATAATAAACCTCAAAAAGACTTTATAATTAAGATCTATAAATGTAACTTACGACTTTGGCCACTGAAGACATGTCAACTTTATTTCTAAATGTTAATGGTCAACTACAGCGATTTTTTATTTTGTATTGTTTTGATCGGCACATATAAACGCGTTCTCTTTCTACCGAATACTGATCAAAACAACGAACTATTCGGTGTTGCCACACGTTTGTAGGTAAATTAATGTATTTGCGCAACCACATTAATTATTTCTAAAAAATATAAACTTTGTGACTTAGAAAACTAAGAAAAAGGTTTGTGTTTTGAATCAGTTTTCTTTCTGGATGGTTTAAGAAACACCTCGACCTTGACCTTATTAATCGTTCTATTGAATACTTTCTGATTGACAAAAATAAATACAAAGATTTTTTGATGACGGTAGAGATATGTCATTCTTTCTAAATCTTTCAATTTATTTTTGATAATATTTTTAGTTTGTTATTAAAACGAACCCATATGCGACTCCCACATAGGTAAGCTCTGACTCGTAGGCATAATCATATTGTTGCTCTCGCGACATTCTATAATATATACATCCAACATTCTGTAACACTGCCTGAGTCTGCCTGTGGTGATTGCGGTATAGATTGAATAGGTCTCTGGTTACCACAACCAGTCCCAAGCCCGGTTAAAATGTAAAGGGTGATTGGCAAGGTTAGCAACCTACTAATCGTAAAAACAAATACTGCTCAAAGAAACAATTTACAGCCTCGTAACCTCGGAAATAATGACTCATAATGTTTCTTACACATAATATTTCTTATTCTATTCCATTCAAGTATTTTCCAGATCATACACCAGCGTTCCAGATCAGACAAACATCTAAGGGTCCCCCTCAGCTAAAAGACCTGTCTGACCTTATAGTCTATTCGAAAGGGGTCGCTGGAATTCCGGAATATCGGTTGTTTGATATATATTTTATTTATATATATATATATATATATATATATATATATATATATATATATATATATATATATACATTTTTATTTGAAAACAGTCAGTCCGAAAATATAATTGTATCGAGTTTAAATTGTAACGCGGAAATAAATATTGTGAAATAAATTAGTGAATATTGTATACATATAAATTAATAAAGACTTCGATAAACTTGTAAGTGTTGTAAAAGTGTAGAACCCTTTTATAATAAATCATCATCATCTTGGTGTTACAGCCCTTAGAGGGCCTCGACCTTCTCAAGCTTTCTACGCCATTCTGTTCTGTCCCTTGCTTGCATTTTCCAGTTGCGCCTGGAACTGGACTCCGATCTTCTCCGCATCTTGTGTTACCCTATCCATCCACCTCAGCTTTGGTCTACCCCGTCTTCTCATTCCCACGGGTTGCGCTGTTAGAATCTTTTTTATCATGTTCGATTCAGGGGCCCGGGCTACATGTCCTGCCAACTACAGGCGGTTTTGCTTAATTATAGTGGTAATATCTTTACCACCAAACGTGTGCTTGTAGATATTCTGCAGTTCAAAGTTATATCTACGCCTCCATATTCCGTTCTCACAGTCGAATATCTTGCGTAGCACCTTTCTTTCAAAAATGGATAGAGCGGATTCATCTGTTTTCGTTAGCGTCCATGCCTCTGATCCATATGTGAGAACGGGGACTATCAGTGTTCTATACAGCGTTATACGTGTTGTTTTTATAATAAATAAAATTAATAAATTAGACTTATAAATAATAGTACATTAAGAAGACGAATACAGCAAGGAATAAGGACAAGCGAAACACATCCAAAACCTAGATGAGAATTACTACTTGGAATACAAGATCGCTAAACTCAAGGGACCAAAAATAAACCAAGTGCTAAAAGAGAAAGAAATAGACATTTATGCTCTACAGGAAACAAAAAAGAAAGGAAAAGGACAATCACAATTAGGTGAATACGTACTAATCTACAGTGGAGTAGCAAAAGAAAGCAGGGTCAAAGAAAGTGTTCCTTACTAATAACACCAAATATACACCAAAGGTACCAAAATCACATGAAATAGTGTCAATACATATTAGAGAGGATTGTAACAACAAGCAGTTAAGTTAAGACCAATTTCAACAAGTAGTAGATCAAGTCAGAGTCAAAAAACATAAATGATGTATCCTCGATATGTTACTGACTTACTAATACTGGTATTTTCCTTTTTTTTTTTAAAACAAACATATAAAATCAGAATTTGGTGTTTATTCAGAGTAAACTAAATGTAAGACCAAATACTTACCATGTCGGGATAGTATTATGAAGTATTTTCCTGGTCTTTCCCCTCATGATTCCCTATGGAATCACAAGAGAGAATTTTACTATCATCATGGCATGTGGTTGTCTGTTTAAAGACGAATTACATGCCATGTAATTCGTAAAACAATGATTTCCGTAAAACCTATTACGTTTCTTCTTGTTTAGGAAGATCTATTCACAAATGCATACCAAGAGTATTTCTGCTTTCAGAGTATTTCAAATTTAACTAAAATTACTTCACCTTCACCCAAGGAAGTGAAAAAATTTATTAAGTTGAGAGAGAAACTTAAAACAGCCTCACACTGGTCGAATTGTATGATGTTCTGAGAAAGCTTGTCCCATAAAAAAACCGTTGATAAATATGTACCTTGATGGAAAAACGAATTGGGAAAACTGAAGAGTAGGGCACGTGGAGTATTCAACAGAGCTAAAAGTTCAGGTAATTGGGCAGACTACGAAATAACAGTAGCAAAATATAACACTGGGTTACAAAGAACTAACAGAAAAACATCGGGAAGGTCTGTGAAGGAGATCACCAATTGAAGCTCCCGATACACTTTCAAAAAGTTATCTAAAGAGATCATCTAACGGCATTTTGTTTCGAAATGGTGATGATTCAATCTTCTATAACGGTAGTGTAATAAAGTGTGCACTAACTCTATTAATTTGGTAACCTTTAGCATTTGGGGAAAACACTTTATTAATGTCCTTTAATGTACTTTATTAAGGTAGTAAATGATTAAAATTCCACAAGAAAATAGCTTCAGAACAAGACGTAATTTTTATTATTAGGATTTTTTTATTCTAAACTCAACAAAGCTTTAACTATGTGATAACATAATCAATTAAACAATTAGTATGCAATTAAACGCAGTGTGAATTTGAAGACAAATCTTAAATGTATAAACATATCTCTTTTGACAGAATGCCCCTCTAGTCACCTATTTTTGCTATGCTTTTACACTTTATATTTATAATCTTAAACTGACCAAGTTTAGGAGACGAAACTTTTTGTTTCAAGTTGGTCATTCAGAATTACCTTGTTTACCTAGTGTGAAAAGTATTTAGAGATATTAGAATTTTGTATAACTGAAGATAATGTTTAGTTTTATAGAAACTAATATATAACAAACACTACGCTCTTAAAATTATTTTTGGTACGCATCAGATATTTTGAACGTATATTATAGATTGTACTATGCATTTCGTAGATGTACGATAATGATCGAACGCATGGCAACACCGATATTGCAATGAGCGGTGAACGTCAAAATCAGCTGTTAGCATCTATGTTTGTTTGCTTTGTTTATGAACAATGAATTTTAACTACGAATTATACAGATTGTTATGATACATTCTTCAATACCTATACAACTTAATTGTTTTTAAGGAGAACAAAACTGCAAGTTCTATTAATGGTCTCCTTATTTAAAATTTATTACTTGATTACTTGAGAGCAATAGGTACCTAATCCTATTATAATTATTACAATATTACGTACCTACTATGTAATAATTAACATACTATACAATCGCTACACAATAAAACTAGCTTGTGTCAGCGGCTCAATATTTATTAGAAAAAAATTATATACTGAAATTAAATTACTAGGGGAAGTGCGGGTATTGCCGCCCACTTAGCAATTTGTTGAATTAAACAAAAACTATAGGTTTTGAAACAGAATTTCAACTGTCAAAATACAGTCATGTTATCGACTTCTAATTATTTAGGCCTGAAAGTGTTGATTTATTTTATTTTGCGGAGTATTTCATTTATATTCACAAACCTGCACTCGGGCGGAATACCGCCCTAGGGTTACATTATATCTGAAAATCAAACACAAAATAATTATTTGTTCACAAACAACATATATATATATATATATATATATATATATATATATATATATATATATATATATATATATATATATATATATATAGAAAAGAAATTTAATCTTTGCAGATAAGTTAAATAGTAAACTCTTAAATATTGGGGAAATCTGCAAGAAAACTCTAATGTGTATCAATTGTTTCGCCTAACGTTTTCGCCAAAAAGAATTAATTTGGCTTCTTCAGGGCTGAAAGAGAATAAATTATAATAAGCTACCATTATTATGTAATAAAAAACATTTACCTTACCGTAAATTTTAGAAATGTCGAGTTATGATGTTAAAAAACTTTAGCTAGTAACAACATAGTGGTGTTTTTTTGTTACTATGTGCAAAAAAGTTATTTTTGTTAACGTTGGAAATGTATGTAGCTTTGAACTTAGAACGCAAAGATTTACCCAAGGTTAATCGAAAAACAGAATGTAAGTACATTTAAAGGAAGTAATTCGTTGAATTGTCGGCAATAACTAATTTTTGATTGTTATAAAGTTTGAATGTGAGGTTCTGTTTTCATAGAAAGCAAGCGCTGACAATTACAAGTAGTTTTTCTGAATATTTATGTCGTTAAGTTTCGTTGGTAAAACCGATGCAGTTAGATCCCAGTCTGGGGAGATATTAGTTTAGAATTTTCTTAATTGAAATTCTTTTTTAATGTTCTTTTTTCGCTATATAAGGTTTAGCAATATTATATGGGATTGTTTAAGATAATTACGTTCTTTTTTATTAATTTCGTAGCAACATAACACCTTGTAGAATTGTAGAGATTTGACATCAAAAAATCTATTTATGTCCATTTGATTTTTAATACCTATAGACTACTATTGTCCAAAATTATTAACAGCGAAATATTTAATTTTGGTATACAGGATTAAGTATTTTCAGCGTTTTCTTGAGTGGAATTATTTAGGAGAAGAATATCTAAGTATTTTAATATTGTAATGAAATGTTATTTATTTCTTAATGGTTTATTTTTAGAACAATTTATTCTATAATAAGAAGAATGATGCTGATACTTTAAATTGTTCTTAATAGATTTTATATAAACTTTAAAACTCTTCGATCTTTAATACATTCAATTTTCGGAGAGCCTTGATGAAGATTAGATTGGAACGTGTATCGAAAACTTTTTGAATCGACATTCCGTTTTTTTTTGTTTTAACCTAAAAATCCCCTTTAGTAATAGGTGCACCTCCTTTTATTCTCATTATCTTCAAAATATTACTTTGCTGCAAAAGATTAAAACAAGGATTGAAACATCCAAATGTCACAAAATGTCTGTACACGTCGTTTTATTTGTCAAACATCGTTTAAAACTTGTCATTACTATAATAAGTTTTTTTATGAATATACAAATATTATAACAATTTTAAACAATAATGCATTCAATTAACAAAAATTCATATTTACACAATTACTTTAAGGATATCAATCCACGACTTATTAATAGATGCGTGGAAAAAGGTAAGTTGTTTTTTATTATTCTTTGCCTTTATAGTATTTATCACTTCCTTGGTCTGATAATATGTTCTATTCTTAAAATTGAGTTTCTGCACTTAAAACGAATAAACACAAGATACAACCATAAAAATATAACTAATCACTGATTTTAAAAATCTATTTTCTGCTAATCCATAAAACCCAGCTATTAAACTAATAACTACTATTAATAATATCACCCTGTTCCAGATAATAGTCACCCTCGAGCACATTCTATCTCACAAATTTTAAAAACTTTACTAGAAGACATAGACCTAAAACTCACAACTCCGTTTACTATGTCCAGAATTCCCTCGTCTTACCTACTGTCCTTACCAGCTTGAACCGATACAAAAAAGAAGAAACGCAAAGAACTCTCTTGGTACAAGCATTTGAGGAACTTATACAGACCGACACAGCGTTATGACAAAATTCTCTACACAGATGCCTCCAAAGAAGAACAGGCCGTCGGTTGTGCCGTAAGTACCTCAAAGACAACAGTAGCGTCACATCGGCTTTCTCTCAGATGCAGTATATACACAGCCGAACTGTATGGAATACTCAAGGCATTAGACTCGCCCACTGCTAATGAGAAATTATTAGCAATATGCACCGACTCTCTCTCCGCCATTGACATCAGAAATATATACTCCATACATCCCATTGTACAGTGTATGCACAGTGTCTGCCAACAATTGTCAAAAAATGGCATTTCAGTAAAAATCATCTGGGTACCATCCCATGTTGGTATCAATGGAAATGAGAACGCTGATCATACAGCAAAACTGGCCTGCTCCTTAGAAAATATGGAAAACATACAACTTTACCAAGACCTAAAGGCCAGTATCAAGAACAACGTACTAACACTTGGCAAACACACTGGAACATGCAAAATACAAAACTACGCACAATTCAACCAACTGTTACCTCCATCACCATACCTCAAATGAGCAGAAAAGATAATATCATTATCAGAAGTCTCAGAATAGGTTACACTCGTCTTACTCATGGATATCTGATGTCTTCTGAAAACCATCGTCGCTGTGAACATTGTAATAAGTCCTTAACAGTCCAGCACATATTACTAGAATGTGTCCACTACAAACCTCAAAGAGACTACTACAACTTTCAAAATAATTTAAATGATCTACTCGGTTCTACAAACATGTACAATACCATAATTCGTTTCCTAAAAGACTGTCACCTTTACTACTTATTGTAATTATATTAGATGTTAATGTATCCTAACTTGTACATAAACAGATTGTATATGTATGTAAACATAAACATATTGTAATCAATGTTGTACCAGTGTCAGTGGGCCATGGTTGCCGAGACACTTTAATTTAAAATAAAAAAATTTATTTAAGTATTTATTATTAATATGTTAACAAAATTTTTTGACACCCAATAACACTTTCAAATGTCTAGAAATTGAACAACTTCAGGAAATATACGACACTTTAAATGTCCATAAAAAAGTGAAAGAAATCACAGGTAGACAAAAAAGAGACAAGAAAAATATTAACAAATTACAATTATAGGTACAGAAGACAAACTGCAGAGATGGAAAGAATACATTCAGACACTTTTTGACGATGATAGATCTTGTTCTCAACCATCCACGGATGATCGAATAAATGAAAAAAATCCAAAATAACAAAAGAAGTTATTTATGCAGTAAAAGCGCAGTTAAATTAATTGCAGACAACGAAAGTAAAAGCCTCGACTTAATATCAGCAGTATACAAAAATATATATGACACTGGTAGAATATCATCAGACTGGCTAAAATCAACATTCGTAACATAATCAAAAATGTGGGTTTCAGATGAGTGACACTCAATTCGGATTTCGAAATGGAATAGGAGCACGAGAAGCTCTTTTTGCCTTAAATGTGTTAACACAACGATGCAGAGACATGAATGCAGATGTACACGCATGTTTTATTGATTATCGAAAAGCATTTGACTGCGATAACCATAAAAAGATGATCGAAAAGTATAAAAGAAAAAATAGTCTGAAAAGTTGTATCATGTAGCCCGAAAAGGATTTTTTAATGATGTACCTTTTGTAAAGGATTTATAAAAAAAACTTTAGTTTGTGATTTATTTAAACAAACAGGGAATTTTTTTCAAAATTAAAAAACTACAACTTTCAATTTACTGACGTAGTTTTTCTAAAATAAGCATTGCAAACCGGCCAAATCACTTGATCACTTGAATTCTGTTAATAATACCCAAATAAACTAAATTCTAAATGGCTTAAGATTGTTCTTAATTAAGATGATAATAATGTCAAGGGTGTCATTGTTTAGTTTTTTTCACAAAAACAAAGAAGTGAGTTTCTGTTTGTCACACATGGATCAACTTTTATGCAAAATACTTTTACCAGCATTCACATAAATTTGTAAGAAAAGTTTTATAAATCTTTTTTTTTTTGTTGGCCTGTATTATCTATTTTTATTTTTGATTGAAGTCATGTAGTGTTTATTTCGTTGAGATTTTAGGTTAAGTTTATTAAAGACTATACGTTTTAGCTCTTGGTCGGAAGATACTAGATGGACACGACCTAGAACCACCTTTTAACCGTTTATGCTCAGAACAACCTAATATACCCATCGCTGACTTGGACATAATACACCGACCTGTAGGATTTGGGCGTTGTGCTATGACAAAATTGGTAAATATATGTATTGTCATTGTTTAAAATTATATCTTTTGTGCAGTAGCAATTATTAAACTAAAACATTTCTAGAGACGAGAACTCCACCACAAAGATCCAAAAGTGGTTATAGCTGCCCTGGAAAGTATATCAGAATTGGTAATAGATTCTACAAGAGGATATGAAGCGCTTAAATTACAAGTAGATGAAAGGTATACAAGATAGTCAAGCATTACTTTTAATTTTTACTTTCATTTGTTGTTTTTAAGCGAGATCGTCTTTCTAGTTTAATATTTTTGCTAAAACTGTTACATATCAGCTTTTCTCAAACATCTCATGAATAACAGCTTAATTAAAGTCTTATCCTCAAAAATCAAGTTTGTAGTAGTGGATTTTTTGCTATGAAAACCATGTTGTGATTTAGGTATTCAGCCTTTACAAAACCAAGAAAGTTGCCATACTATAAGACAGTTGAAGAGCTTAAGGATTGCAGATTGTATACAAATGCTACGATAATTTTCAATGTTATCTTTATGACATCGGTCAAGACATGGAAACAGAAAGCGGATTAATTAAAAACGTTGATCAGTACGAATATCTCGGATTTACACTAAGCGAAGACGGGAGAGACGACAAAGATATATCAAGAAAAATAGGAAAAGGAAAAAACATGATAAAAACACTACATCCGATCCTGTGGAATAAAACTTTAACTAAGAAAACAAAGAAAAATATATATCAGGCTATGATTCAGCCGGTGCTGACGTATGGGTCAGAAGTGTGGGTCTTTAACAAGAATATGTCACAAAAACTCCTCTCAACGGAAATGATGTACTGGAGAAGATGTTCCGGGTTAACTTTGTTTGACCACATAAGAAATGAAAACATAAGAGAGAGAATGAAAGTAAAGAACACAATAGTGGATACGATAGCCGGAAAACAATTAAAATGGTATGGACACCTGAGACGGATGAACGAAGAAAGGATACCACGAAAGGTTTGGAACTGGAGACCTACACAGAGAAATAAAAGGGGAAGGCCAAGAAAGAAATGGATATCCAATATTCATATAGAAATGGAAAATAGAGGTCTTCAAGAAGGAGACTGGGCCGATAAGAAATTATGGCGATTGGATGCGAGAAGCGACAAAATTAAAGTTGCTGCAAACACTCGCTATATATATATATATATATATATATATATATATATATATATATATATATATATATATCTTTATGACAATATAGGAACTTTCTTTCCTATGAAGAAGGAAACACAGAGGTTTCCAAAGATATATTAAACAATATAACAAACGACTTTACAAGGGTATGGACACACTTTTTTAATAAAAAATTAGGCACTCCGTCTGAGCCAGCAGTAAGCTTATCAGGCAGCTCAGTTATGCCATTGAAAATACCAGTCATGGTAATCTTAGAAGGACAAATATTTGTACCAAAGTTGCTATTTAATAGATAGATAAGTACGTAAAGGTTGTTGTTATTTGGTGAGTACACAGTCTGGAAGAAGTTCATAAATAAATTAGCTATGTCTTGACCATTTGTTGCAGATTAGACTTGATTGGACTCTTTTCAAAAAAACGAGAGGAGAGGGAACTCACAATAGAATTCTAAGACAAGCGAGTAGCACCTTGGTAGGGTTCGGACTGTCGCAGGCCGAAATAAGAGTGAGAGACAGACGACGCGAGAGAGATGGCAGCCTCGCTAAGGCAAGGGGTTGTTGTTGTTGTTTGTTTGTATTTAAATGACTGCGGACACTAAATCCATTCGCCAATCTTACAATTTGAGGTGTAGTGTGTGTGTGTGTGTGTAGAGTAATTGTCTTGATACTTAGCAAAGTCGACGTCATTGTCTTTGCTAAGAGACGCTAATTGTATCCGAACGTCTGCGGTCCCTCCGGTGTGTACCGATCACACAAGGATAGAAATTATTTTCATTTATTAATTTTTTTTTTTTAATAAACGAAAATTTTCCACCCAGGTGGGATTCGAACTCACGACCTTTAGGTTTAAAGGCAGGCGCTCTTACCACTGAGCCACAGAGGGGGTTAGGCAAGGGGTTGAAAGTCCTTGGTGGTTCGTGTGAGTGTGGTTTCCTGGATGAATGTGTCGGAGAAAGAATGGGAATCCATCCTGATGTCTGGTGTGGCAGAGAAGAGGTTTTTAGTTGGACGCCTACCGTCTCGGAGAGGTGACGGGGCGAGGTGTCAAGGGTCTAAATTCCTTGGTCCTTGGGCATCTCGCCCCTGCACAGCTTCGCTAGGGTATTAGGAACCCAACACTACCTATGTGAGTCACATTGGACTTGATAAATTAAGGTTTAGATATGATGTGACTAGATCACTTATTATTAATGTATTTACAAAAGGATTTTAGATTTTTTAGGCCAATATCTATACCTTTGATATAGTTCCTGAAGCAAATTTCAGACCATTGTTTAATTCAGTTCTGAGGTGGAAAAATCTAATATAGTCATCATCAGAACGATTATTACCATAAATATAGTAAGCATGTTATTTCTCCAGAGTCAGTCTTGTAAGATCAGATATGAACCACCTGGAGAAAGTAAAAGTTTTATATTTTTTCAATAGCACAAAGTCTCTACACAAACCTAACCATACATACCTGCCAGTCTATGCAAACAAGGAAGTTGTAAAGCGCTATGTAATCGCTATTTCGAAAATCATAAAATAACTCATCATAAACCAACTTATTTCTATGTGTTTGTTTCAAATTGAGGTTTAAGCAACATTCATAACTTACATGATCGATGCTAGTGTCTATAAGGAGGTGGTTTATTATTGATTATTATGTTAATACAATTTTAAAAAACCAAAGGCTTGAGCAGTATTCACAGCTGGATCACCTGCAGTACAATGCACCATCACACCAAACTTATCCTTCTCCCATGATGGGTTGGGAAGATTGTAATCACTAAAAACATAAAAATCTTGTACTGAGTATTACAGAAAAACATTTTCCACAGTTTAACAATGCCAGTTGTTTACTTCGCAAGGTGATTGTGGAGGTATGTAGACACCACCAACCACAAACTTGACTTTATTAAGTTGGCATAAGATATACATTTGTTCAGTCCGATCTTTAAGAATACTAATGGTTTGTGTTTTTCGCTTTTTGTTAACAAAAACTAGTACACCATCACCGCTCAACTTTGCAGTTTCTTTGGAACCTATCACATCCACAGGTACTCAAATCATCACATTTAATTTTAGAATCAATTATGTTATCACTTAAGTTACTCTCCACTACAATAATTGTATTGTACGAGCATCAGGAAATACTTTTTAGGATCTCGGAAATCTTTGTACGTTCTTCATCCTTATAAACAAAAACTAATAACAAGCATAGTCAGGTCCAGGAGACTTGCATGAATTGATCTTGTCCTGATAAGTGACTTCATGTGATTGATATGAGATAGGTACCAGAAATATAGATGTTTCGCCGCTATTGGAAAGCACCCACCGGGTCGTCCGTGATAAAGATTGGTTGACAACAAATGTATATGCACTATTGGAAAGAGCTGTAATGGACCGCAAATCGTGGCAAGGTATACGCCGGGAGGCTAAAACTATATACCCATAGGAAGTAAGTACGTAAGTTCTGCACCCTTATGTCATTGACGATTTACTTGGTTCATCCGCCTTTTAAACCGATCTGTTAGTCAAAGGACAGAAGATTTCCCATTTCAGTTACCGTATATTCCAGCCCAATACGTTTCGTTGGTCAGTAAATAGAGCATTGCTCATATTGGCAATCACTAAGTAAATTTTTCAATATCTATAGCTATTCTCAATGTCAAATGTATGCTAATATTGCTGAAATCGTAAAAAATAATTTGAATTGTTTATTATAACGTTGCTATGATTGCTTTTTACAACGATAACTTACCTTATGTTACCTTCACAAGGCTTTCGATAGTATTGAGACTTGGTCATTTTTGTCCGCCCTGAAGGATGCTTGAATAGACTCACGGTACACTACACTCATTAAAAACATTTATGAACAGGCCACATTCCACATCAAAATCAATGAAGACGAAAAAAATGAAAAAATGCGCCTTGATAAAGGTATTAGACAAGGTGATACTATTTCACCAAAGCTTCTTACCTTGGATTGGAAAATGTATTCAAACAGCTTGACTGGGAGGAAAAAGGTCTAAACATTGATGGTGTACGTTTGAGTCATTTAAGGTTTGCGGATGACATAGTATTATTTAGTACAGATATCAAGAAACTGGAGCAAATGTTGAAGGAATTAAACCAGCAGTCAAATAAAATAGGTCTCAAATTGAACCTTCAGAAAACAAAAATAATGAGTAATTTACAAACTAATCTTGTTATTGGCATTAAAATCGGCAAAGAAAATCAAATAGCCGAAATAAAAAGACGCATACAACTGTCTTGGGGAGCTGTCAAATTAAGCTTTATTTTCAAGAATAAAGATATACCAATGTGTCTAAAACGTAGAGTTTATGACAAATGTATCTTGTCTGTAACTACATATGGACTGGAGACCATGGCCTTCACAAAGAAAACCTTAGAGCAGCTCAGTACAACCCAAAGAGCAATGGAGAGGGCCATGCTAGGGATTAGTTTGAGAGACAGGATTCGAAATAACGTCATTCGTGAAAGAACAAAAATTACTGATGTCTCAGAACGTATTGCAAGGCTCAAGTGGCAATGGGTCGGACACGTTGCCCGAGATAATCCCGAAAAATGGACACAAAGATTAACAAACTAGAGACCAAGAGAGAACAGGCGAGGAGTAGGCAGACCGCAGAAGGGGTGGACAGACGATATCAAACAAGTCGCGGGCAAGTAGTGGATGAGAATTGCCAAAAGTAGAAATCGATGGAAGCAAATGGAAGAGGCTTATGTCCAGCAGTGGACGAACACAGGCTGAAGAAGAAGAAGAATAAGAACTTACCTTATATAATAACCCTTTTATTTAACGTATAAAAAATATCATCGTTGTTTATTAATTAATTTCCGTAATTTTTTGTTACATTCAGCCTAAAATATCTGCGCATCAAGCTATTGACTTAATTGTTTGGAAAAGTTTTTGCGCGTATATTAAATCTTATTTGACAACATATATGTATTTATCTTAAAAAAGTAAGTAAACAAAAATTTTATAATTAACTCAGTATTTTTCACCAAGTCAATAATGATATCCAAAGCTTCACTATATATCAATAAATTCGATTATTTATTTTAGATTGACTGATTTGTTAATGGACGAAAATCCAGCTATTAGAGAACGAACTGCAAGGGCGTTAAAAATTTTGGCAAAATTAGCAGAAGGAAAGACGAAAATTGTTAAAAACAGCACACTTTTACATAATCTTGCGGCATGTTCAGAAGATAATAATAAAAAAGTTCGACTTCAAGTGGCTCTTGTATTACAAAATATTGCTGAATTTTGGATGAGTACGTAAAACAGTTACATGAGTTATTATTTTTAAATAGTGTTACATAAACATCACATAGAATTTTCTCGTCTTTGGCGATTTATTTCGAGCGAGTCTCATTATTCTTCTTCCTTTCATTCTGCTAGTATGTATATTCCACTCTTTTTTCCTGTTTAGCACCCAACTAGTAATATCGTCTACTCCAGAGATATTTTCTTTTCACGACCCTTCTTAAGAATATTCAATTCAAGGCGAATGTCTAATTCTCATACTATATTTTGCTCAATTTGTTTAAAAATGTTTATAACTTTATTTGATTATCGTGTCTGGATTTTTTTAGAATCTTTTTATCAATATAAACTCATCGGCAAAAAAAGTGGCCACCCTATAAATTTCCAAAAATAAAAATTCATTGGGAGTTTTATGCACTAATTCATATTGTATACTCAACATCTTTCATTTTTAAAACCAAAAATGATTCCTTAGTATAATTTATTTAATTAGAAGGCTACAAAAAAAACTAGTATAGTATCAAAATGAATTACAAACAATAAAAATTACGAGTGAACTTGAACAAAATTGTCTAATACCACGTATTATGCCTTAAAACATCAAGTTCAAGTCAGCCTGGTAGACTTCTAATCCTACAATGTAGTTCATCTCAAAGATGTTCGATGATATTCAGATCAGGGCTGCAGGCTGGCCATCTAGAGTCTATGCCTACTCTAGAGTCTAAGCTTAATAATTACTCCTTCCCACAAGTTATTTGTCACAATTCTTACAGTGTGCAGTGGACAAACTTTCTTCTCTGGAATATACAAGCTTGTGCCTCATTCATTTCTCCTTCTCAAAACCCTCTCTTGGCTATTGCCAGGCTCCAAAACTAATCGATTCCTATAGTATCTGGGTTGTAATTCGGGAACCATGGCCAGCCTTCTTGCCACTAGTCCTCTTTCATTGGGACGTTGTCTTTCAAAGTTTATCTCAAAAGTTCACAGAAAACGATCATCTCTTTGCAGGGTAACCTTTTACGACCGAAACCAGGTCGACGTGAGTATGTACCAGTCTCTATACAGCGATGATGGAAAGCTTTCCGTTCTGTAGTTCTCGGAATACCTAAAGTTTCGGATATGTAAACTTGACTTCTTTCGTCTTGTAGCAATGCAATAATTCGAGCAATACCTACTGTGAATAACACCATATCTTAATAAAAATTCACTTTGTCGACAGCATACATGATCGCAACAAATCAAATATTTAAATCGAGGCGCAATATGAAAATAGTGCATAAAACTTCCAATGAATTTTTGATTTTCGGAAATTGATAGGGTTGCCACATTTTTTGATGTTCGGTGTATTTAAAATTAATATTGTTATTACATCTGTTGAAACCTCAAACATTCAGGTCAATCGTCATATATGACAAAAAATAGCATTACAATATACTTATACATTGCCCAATAAACACACATCTAGTCGGTTCATTCCCGTTCCCAGTCTTCGCTTTAAAGATGTCCGATTTTGGACCAGGTTTTCTTCTAAATCATGAGCCCTCATAGCACAATTTATTCATTCGCTTTGTGACTTAAGAGGTTGACCTCTTTTATTTCTTCATGAGGGTTGCCAGGGGAATACTCGTTTCAGCCACCTTGATTCCTCTCTCCTAAGTAAATGAACCAATCATCTAAGATTTTTTTTTCGATACGCTCAACAATAGTCAATGATGTTAACATTCTGTTTCTGATTTTTTCGTTGAAAAATCCAGTTTATTCTAGAACTTCTGGCAGATCCTTATAGGTAGTCCATTTCGACTGCTGTAAGTCGTCTTTTGTCGTTTTCTTTCATTGTCCAAACTTCGCAGCTTTGTGTAAGGTGTCTTTTGTCTTCTTCTTTCATTGTCAAAACTTCGCAGCCTTATGTAAGATCTGAATCAAAAATGATTTGATCGTTGAACCTTTAATTGGTTCATCTTTACCAATTAATATTAAATTAATTTTTATTAATTTTTAGCTGCTGATACTTTGGTAGAATTTGGATTCATTTCAATAGTATTACACATTCTTCAAAATAACGAAGACAATTGTATTAAGCTTATCCATCTAAAAACGTTACGAGCGTTGATGTACGGAATCCAGGGTAAAATGGTAGCCCTAGATAATTCAGGATATAATATTTTAGTAAGTATTTAATTTTTAATAGTGCGTAAATTTATCAGTGAATAAATCGGTAAGAGTTGATCCGGTTCTTCAGCACTACGAAAACAGCCTAACAAAAAACCCAAAGTTTGTCTCAGAAATGTAGATAAGCTATTAAGACAGACATAGTTAGGAAAATAATAATAAATATTGGAACCTGGACTAAAAAATCGCTAAATGAAAAACTGGGGATACTAAAAAAGGAACTAGACATGAAAAAAATTAAAAAAAAAACATTGTTTCACTGATAAATAGCAAAAATAGGAGATTTTATACTCATTCACCAGGAGTGGCCAAAACTTTCTTAACAGTGTGCCACTCTCTGTTTATGAAAAGTTAGTCGTGCCACCAAAAATTTTCTAACAAAAAATTCAATAGGTAGGTGGAATTTGTGTGAAATAACAAAAAAATTATGTGTAGCTATAATAGTATATTATTCCACGAGCATGTAATAATAGGTATTACTCACGATGATTAAGTTTGCGACTGTCGCAATTCATCAGAGTGAGTAATAGCCATTACATGCCAGTAGAATACTATACTTTTTCTATGACCTTTTTTTTATTTTAAATAGTAAAAAATATAATTATCAACTACTCGAGATTGTTTATTACTAGCAGCACAGTACATGTTTATGGTTGATGTGGTTAATGCGGCTTGTGAATCTGAATTTTCTTAATTAAATATTGAATGTTGGGGTCAATTTTTGTTACAGCTTATAAAATTAGAGTTTCAAATGATTATTGATTAATTTTGAACGATATTGTGATTTAATAACATTCATAATTGAAAACATTTCTTCACAAACATACGTCGAACCAAAACGACAACAATACCGCAAAGGAAAATTGTGAAGATATGGAAAATTAGCTGTGGAAACGTATTTCCAAAATTTAAAAACCTTCTCCTAAAAAAATTCCAAAAAAAAACTTCTTTAAGAGAAATGGAAAAAGGATTTGTGAAAAGTTGAATATTTTTATTTTCCTCCTGGAAATCCTGAAATCTCGTAATAAATGAGCTTTGAAGACTTGACAATACTTGAATTATACTCAATGTAATGTGTCAGTTTTTAAACGAGTAATCACTGTGTTTTAATTTCCATGCCGTATCTCATCTGAAATATTTGTAAAACAGCGTTTACAACAACTTTGTGGATAACCACATGTTTCCCTTTTGTCCAGCAGCTTGCATTCTCAGTTTTGATTGTCCCTGGTTGTCATCCCAGGCTATTTTGCAGTTTGGAGATGAATTTGTTTGTGTGGCAAAGAATCTAAATCCAGTTCTAACCCCAGAAATTTTAACAGAAAGATATTAACATTTAGTAAAATACCAGGTACCATTTTATAGTTAAACTTTTTTCATGCAAAAATAAACAGTTTTTCATTTGTAACATTATAACATTTGTAAATTATAACTAAATTATAACTATCTGACAGAATTTGTAAATTCTGTCCCAAATTTTCAACCCCTTTAATAATACCCCATGTGGTAGGCAAAATAATCGTTACAACAGCAGGAAATATGTTCTCAGAAACAGAGGGTTTCCTACTTTCTATTCAGGAGGAGGGTATTTCAACTAAAACCTAGCTCAAATATATTGTCAAAGTCACTCAAGTTCAAACCGATAAATGCCGATATGAATGTCAAGATTAAGAAATGATCCAACATCTTATCGGGGCTGCTAGGCGTTTCTCGGAACTGATTAAAAGAACGCCGTGACTCAGTAGGAAATATTATTCGCTATCAATAAAAAAAACTGTTACTTCTCTAAACCAACCAACTCCCTTATTATCTGAATATCCCTAATAAAATGCTTGAAAACGACAACTACACGCTATGGGACCGCACTGTGCTCACAGATCAACCAGTAGCTTATAATAGACAGGATCTTATACTAGTTAACACATTAACTAGACAAATAACATTAATTGACGTGGCAATACCTAATAACAATAATTTACGTATTAAATACAACGAGAAGATCGCCAAGTACAGAGATTTTGAGTCTAAAAATAAGACAGTGAAGACAATGAAAACAACGGAAAATGAAAAGTGCTTAGGGCGATACCTATTAGTCTCTCTATTATTGGAGTCATTCCAAAAAACCTATTAGAAGACATAAAACAGATCGATCTTTATGAATATTTTTATAAGACCATGCAGAAAGCTATTCTACTTTCGACGTCCTGATGCATATGCATATTTTTGAACACATCTCACAAAGGCAGCACACAGGCACAAAAACATTTTCCTTGTACTGCAGTAGAAAGAATGATCCGCAGTATTTAGTAGGAAAGGGACTTATGTATATAGATGAGTAATTAGAAAAACGTATTGCTAATTTAAAAACTCATTTTCGAAATCAGGCTGACCTCTACTTTACATTAAGCGATTTGCGCAGTAGATGAAACAATACCGCTTAAACTGAGGGAGCCAGAAATACGCATAAACCACCTTTATAAGGAGGAAAAATGCGCACCTGTATTAATAAACCTCGACATGGGCGACATCTCAATGAAGTCAGTCAAGACAATGTCGACAATACAGCGTCGAACTATTTTCAGGATTAGGTTAGACCAACCAAAGATTATCTAAAATATATCGTCAAAAATCCTCAGGTCCAAAACGACAAAAGCCGATATGGATATCAAGCCAACAAAGAATTTAACATCTAACCGGAAGTTGCCAGGCATTTGCTGCAACTGAATATAAGCAACAGCGTGACCCAGTAGGACAAATCATTCATCAAGATATAGTTAATAAACTAAAACTTCTCTAAAGCAACCATCTCCTATATTATCAATACTTTCCTGAGAGTGTTTCAAAATTACACCTACAAGCTATTATACTGGGACCGCACTGTACTCATAGACCAAACAGTGGTACACAATATACGAGATATCATATTAGTTATTAAAATACCGAGACAAAAACACTAATTGATCTGGAGATAAATAACAACAATAATCTGTGTGTTAAACATAAGAAGAAAATGGAGAATGGAAGGTACCCAGACAATACCTATTATTCCCTCTTCTACTGGAGTCGTTTCGAAGAACCTCCTTGGAAACATAAAAAATCTGGGTCTGAATGAATATCTATATAACACCATGTAGAAAGCTGTAATATTAGCGACGTACAGGTGTGAACAAAAATCTTTAAGAGATAATCCAACATACCAAGTTTACTAGGGCTCGATAATACGGAAAGAGCCTCATCAGAGCTCGATCCTTTTGTTACCGTAGGTAACTCGGATGAGGAAATTTTATTCCTTAAAAGCAGTAAGTTTTAAGTACAGCAGTAAGTAAGTACAAGGTTATGATTAAAACAAGTTTATTATATGGTGAAGAAACTTGTGAGTCTAATAAAAAACCATAAACATATGGTCCTGGTAGTGAAAACTGATGCAATTAAATTTACATAAGTCGTTGAAATGTCTAAGAAGATTCTAATCATCCAATTAGAAGATAATGTACTTACCGTTGACTGAGACATTGCAAAAATTTCGTGGATATGCCTGGCACTTTTGAACTATTCTCGTGAATCATTCATATTTAGTTATTATTTTAAAAACCACATTTACAACAATTAACAAACATTAACCTTATCTAATGTATTAAAAGTAGCTTGTGATTTATTTTATTTATCACCTTATAATAATATGCGATTACCTTAAGTACCTAAAAAATTTAAAACTAATTGTAAAGTAACAAAAATTTTGTGATATTTCTAAATAAAACGTTTTTTCTTTATTTTAAAAGTCGTCCGTAATAAAAGGTGACCAGGAAAGGATATTATATACACATATTATGATAAAATGTTTCGTTAACACGTTCTTTGCTAACCATATTTTCTAAATCAATGTTTCTATGAGCCAATCGTATTTTTAAAGAAGTTAGTGACGTTGGGCCATATCAATACAATATGTTTAATATATATTATTTTTATAACATATTACCTAAACCTGTGACAGAACATGATTTGCAAAACTTCTAATAAATACTTCTAATAAACTTCTAATAAATAGTAAATATGAGTATGATAGTAGAAGTAATGGATTTTAACAAGAGCTATGAGTCATTCCGATTTAGTACACAAATTTACCTGTTATTTGAAGATCATAGCTCTTGTTATATATATATATATATATATATATATATATAATATATATATATATATATATATATATATATATATATCTTGTTCTTGGGTTTAAATTCTCTTGCAAGAATTTTCACTTTCCGGAAGAGGTCTTTGGTTTCATTTCGATATCCGTGATTTTCTATTTCTGCCAAGAAATAGAAAATCACGGATATCGAAATGAAACCAAAGACCTCTTCGGAAAGTGAAAATTCTTGCGAGAGAATTTAAACCCAAGAACTATGCAATAGAGGACAAACATGGTATTATCATAAGTGATATCGACAGAGTGTTGGAAACATGGAAAAACTATTGTTCAGAGCTCTACAGGAAAGAACACGTAAATCTAGGCCACACTTCAGCCCTCGAAAACACTGAATACAACCCTGAACCTGAAATTCTGCTGTCCGAGATTGAAGAAGCTGTAACTCACCTCAAGAAGAATAAATCCCCTGGCTGCGATGATATCACGGGAGAGCTCCTTCAGAATATGGGAGACAAAGGATGTTACATAATGTGGAAACTTTGTAATAAAATTTGGAGATGCGGAAAGTGGCCCAGAGAATGGCGCACATCATTGTGCATACCAATCCATAAAAAAGGAACAACTACAAAGTGCAGTAATTATCGTACCATCTCACTGATTTCCCATCCAAGCAAAATATTACTAAGAATCATTAAACGCCGTTTGCAACAGTACTTAGACAACCAAATTCCCCAAGAACAAGCAGGCTTTGTCAAAGGGAAGGGTACGAGAGAGCAAATCCTTAATATGCGGCAGCTCATAGAAAAGGCCCCGCGAATTTAAAATTCCAATAATAATCTGTTTTCTAGACTACCAAAAGGCATTTGATTGTGTAAAGTGGGAAGTTCTCTGGACAGTTCTTCATGAGATGGGAGTTCCAGATCATTTGGCAATATTAATTAAAAACTTATACGAAGATAACTCAGTTAAAATAAGAATTGAAAACCAGCAATATGATACCTTCAAAACCAGCAGAGGTGTACGACAAGGCTGCATACTATCTCCAGACCTGTTCAATTTATATGGAGAATACATAATAAGGAACGCACTCGATGGATGGAGAGGCGGCATCTCCATTGCAGGGAAAAAGATCTCAAACTTAAGATTCGCAGACGATACAACACTGATAGCAACATCTGAAGAGGAGATGTCGAGACTGATAAAGAGAGTAGAAACCGAAAGCAACAAGTGTGGGCTCAAGATTAATATTCAGAAAACAAAAATCATGATTGTGGACCACGCGAATATCCTCCAAACAACAGGCGCCCTAAATCAATTCGAGAAAGTAGACGAGTTCACGTATCTAGGTCTTCCTTAAGCAATGCAGCCTCCTGCCATACGGAAATTCATAGAAGAATAGGAATGGCAAGAACGCGATGAGTCGACTGTCAAAAATATGGAAGGACCGCTCTTTGTCCAAAAAACTCAAAATGAGACTGGTACGGACACTCGTTTTTTTCAATCTTTAGTTACGGTGCCGAAACATGGACAATAAAATCAGAGGATAGGAAAAGGATTGACGCATTCGAAATGTGGTGCTGGAGACGAATGCTACGCGTCTCGTGGACGGAGCACAGATCCAATCAGTCGATTCTCGAAGAGCTAACATTCAGACCAGACTCTCCTCTCAGTGTCTTGCAAATGTTTTAAAGTTTTTTGGCCACATTGCGAGAAGAGACAATGACAACTTAGAAAGACTAATTGTGTGCGGAAACGTAGAAGGACGTAGAAGCCGAGGACGCTCACCTATCCGATGGTCAGATCAAGTACAGAAAGCCACTGGACAGACGTTTTCCGAGTCCATGAGAGCAGCCCAAAATCGCAAGAGATGGAGAGAATTGACAGTCCGCTTTGTAGGGAATCATGATCCTCAGCAATGAGGAAACGACAAGATATATATATATATATATATATATATATATATATATATATCATCCCCTCCACTGTATTCACTGTATTCTGTGCATTGGAGAAATTTTATATCAATATATAATAATTATATTGATTGATACATATACCAATAGAGAAATTATATACCAGTTTCCGTATAAAGGGAAATTTACTGTTAGAAAAAACATGGAAGGCGATATATATCCTGGCTAAATAATTTAAGACGATGGTACAACTGTAATTCTCTTGAGCTGAGCAGCAGTACCAAAGGTGAAAATAGCCTTAATGATAGCCAATCTTCTTAAAGGAGACGACACTTAAAAAGAAGAAAACATGTGAATAATAGCACTTCTTATTTCTCTCTCCACTGTTGGAATATCTCTTCTGAAGTATGTTTTCTAATTGATCATTTACAAATTTTATTTTTTTCGCTATATCATTTTATATATCATTTACTACACGCAACCCTCTCAAGTACAAATTTTACTGACAAATTTATGAAAAATAAAATAATTTGTTTAATATATGGTTAGCTGTGGTATAACATTATTTTTATCATTGTATTAATTTAATTTTATTCAGATTAATACTGAAAATTTTATAGTTAACCTTTTTAAACGATGAAAATGGTCCAATATTGTCTGTTGCTTTGGAATGCTTAGCCATGCTAACTTCAACTTGTCTTGGAGAAAAATTTGCAAGAGAAGTTAATCTTCTTGATACATTAGACAAATTGCTACAGGACGAGGTATGTATACAGCTACTTAATTTTTTAGAAAAAATATTTTTAGTGACTATAGTTTTAGTTTTTTACAGTAACATAAAATTAGTAATTATGGTGTTGAAAATTTAAACAAACTGATATCCAAAGATGAAAGGTTTATTAATCCTTAAGTAATTACAAATTTCACCAATAGGTTGATAAAGGTAGGTAGATAAAGGCATATGAGATTGCTATTTTACTACATAAATACATATTTTAAACTGAAAGTATGGTTAATTCGCAATAAAGATAGTAAATAATTATAGAATAGAATAGAATAGAATTTATTTAGTTAATATACAAAAATCAAAGGAATAGTGACAATTTACATACATACATATAAAAAATTTTTTTGCGAATTTAAAATATAAAAATTATATATTAAATGGCCATAAGAAAATAACTTCAGAATATTAGTAAGATTACTATACTCTGACAACAAAATGTACAGGATGATTTTTTGTTAAGAAATGAATTTAAAACTGTAAACTGTTGGAAAATTCCACAATTCCAGAGGCGTCGTTATATTATTATTTTTTAGGATTTAATAATTTTACTAGGAATGAATTGCATCGTGATCTATTCGTACCTTTGCCGTGCTATGAATTTCGTAAGTACTGAGTAAGTCTTAACGTAAGACGAAATATTAGCTTAAAGTAAGATGATTTGCACTATATTGCATCAGTTTTTCATAGAATAAAATGGATATAACAAATAATACAAGTGCATGATATCCACGTCATAGACCTGTCTCACAAGAGAAAAAACAAATTATCTGAAAGGTAGGTATGTATATGATGGACTAAAAATACACTTCCTTTAACGCAAGCTGTTAAAGGTAATGGACTTTGACAAGAACTATGACCTTGAAAATAACAGGTAAGCTTGTGTACTGAATCGGCATGACTCATGACTTTTGTTATAATCCATTACCTCTAGTCGCTGTTCTTTTTTAACAGGAATATCATTTTCAATAGTTTAACGTATTGTGCGCGAGAAAAAACTCCATATTTATACAAATCAGCCCGGATGAAAACCTAATAAGTTAGATGAAGCCCAAACAAATAAGCTCCGCAGAACTATACATTAATTTTTCTTTTGAAAATAGTGCTTTAACTCCCAAATCGGTATTAAGTAAAATAGGCGAAATCTAAAATTTTTCTAAAATTAGCCGTGAATTATGAAGAAAAACATTACAAGATCTTAACTTTCGATATATAAGTAGGAAATAATATCATGGCTACGTAATTACCTACCCACAATTCGAAATTATGGTGCGATAAAACGAAAAAATTATTGCCTTAATGACACTTGGGTTAACGTAGGACATACAGTCTCCAAAGTTTGGCAATATACAACAGTGACAAATAAACGGCAAGCCGTTGAAAATTATCGACAGGATTCCGAGCACCGCCAAGTAAGGGTCTAATTGTTGCCCATATTGGCAGCAACTTGGTTTTCTGCAAAATGGTGTCCTTGTATTTATATCGGAGAAAGCCGGAGACTATTATAAATATATGAAATCGATATGCTTCGAGAGGTGGTTCGAGAACATTTTTCAGCGTGTAAATAGTAACTGTTATAGTAGTGGATGATGCATCTTATCACAGCCGCCTTGTTAAACGTGTAACGAAAATATTTTGCCTACCACAGGGGGCATTAATACGGGAGATAGAATAATTGGGGGAAAAACTATTGACAACTATTTGACCGGACAAAACCAAATTACAAAAAACGATTATTCTGTAAGAAATGTCAAATCAATCAAAAATAAATGGCACAATAACGGTACACTTAATTTGTTACTGTAAATAACTTAAAATTCAATATTCAATCTCAAAATATTTGCTTTCATTTACCAATTCACATAAAATACATATAGAAAAATTTCTACAGTACACGAAATAAAAGAAACAACATTACATATGTCAATATACAACAAATACATCTGTTGATATACAATAATACATATGTTAATACAAGAACAATACATAGAAAAAAACAACAATACATATGTTGATACAAATACATAAACTGTTTGTGGCACACCAGGGCACTACTCGAAAGACAGGGTTTCATATAAATGACTGAAAACTAGGGACGAACTGAAGATATGTGGCTTCGGGAAAGGGGACAAAAACCTTGGGCACTTGGACCCACGTTGGGGGCGCCATTTTTGTAACGGATATATTTTGCCTACAACATGGGGCATTAATACGGGAGATAGAAAAATTGGGGAAAAAAACTATTGGGGGTGGAGATAGGGCAAGCAAAATAATCGCTACTGATGCGAACGGCACTCATGGTTTCGTAGGAGAGCTGGGGTCGTGGATAAATAAAAGATAAGGGCATTGGAATGGGGCAACTACAAGAAAATGAAATAAAGGGGTCACTAATCTCTTGGGATAAACAAAATAAAAATAAACAAGAAACACCTCAAGGAATTTAATATAGGGCGCCACTTGAGGTGTCTAATTATGCCTATTACAACCACTAGTTGTAACTAGGGAAATAATTAGAAAACAAAATCAAAGCATAAAAAACATATCTTTTTCAAATAAGAATCAAAAAAGGTTTGGCTCAAAAAAATAAATAAAAGTTAAGACAACAAAATTTAACCTTTATTTATGTGTCACCACAAACAGTTACAAAATGGAGAAATACAAAATACAAAAACTTACGTGTCATCCGCTTACAAACTCCAGGAGTTGGAGATACTACATAATCTTAAAAAATTTATATGAAGGTTAACCTTGTTTAAAAATAAAACAAACTAATAACCAAAAAAAAAAATAAAAAACGAGCTGTCACAAGTTAACATCAAATTTAAAAAAAAAACTAAACACACAAATTGACAGCTCAACTCAAAACCTAAAATTTACAATTTTAAATGTCAACGAAAGCAATTATTTAATTTAAAACAAATTGTCTGTCTTTACTTTAAAATTTGATCAAAAAGTTACCTGGATTTTCACTAACAAAATGCACTAGAATTTGTGGAACCAGACGCCACTGGAATATCCGAAACCATAACTGGAACTGAGGGCTTTACTCTCTGTGTAATGAACACAACTATCTATCTCCATATCTTCATATCTCGAACAAATCTATCTCCATACTGCCAAAAGCCTTGGACGATAACCAGGGAGAAACAAAACGAGGATGGAATCGACGATTCTTCCATTCCTCACTCAAACATTTACTGAACCATTAACTTCACACTGCTACACATTTTCTTCATAAAAAAAGACGAACAAACGTCTTCATAAAAAAACACAAACAACGAGGAACATTTCGAATTTGAAGTCAAATTCGGACATAACGTTGACCACTTTTCACCGCGGCTCCAACGATAGTGAAGAAATTCTATTAAAATTGAACGCATACATACAAACGCTGACATAACAAGACACCACGAAACGACGTACATATCCTTTTGCGACGCATTAAAATTGCGGCTTCTAATAAAACAAGAATTTGCCGAGGAAGTTAAAATAAATAAACAACTCTAAAATGGTTTATTTCAACTTGGCCGACCTAAGAAAGAAATGAAAAGATATTTGGGTTTAAATACGTACGAAATATTTTTAGATCTATCAAAAATATATAAGGTGATTTTAATATTTCGTATACGAGGGGACTTCAATATACTTCAAAGAATCAATGAAATTGAAAATGCTACAAACGCATTTCAATGAAGATATAGTCAACTACTGATAATAATCAAAGAGTATCGTGGTAGATATTGTCAATATGCTGCTGACTTAATGGCTCGATTTCATGGTATTATCTTACCATTGCGACTAGAATCCATTTGAATTAATTTGCAAACTATTACAAACAAGTTGCGATGGTTGCCGATATCTTTAAAATAGAAAAGAAAATGTGAAAGTTGGATTAATAGAAAACGTTATTAATAAAAATGATATAAATAGTAAGGGTCGGCGTGAACGACTAAGAAGTAAGAAAACTCAATGCATTCCTATGATTTACAAACCAAGCTGTGGTTAAAAACTTTAATGTGTTAAGTATAAATATGTTTATCGTTGTAACATATTTTTTATCCAAAACGGTTAAGAATGAACGAAAAACTATATTTGAGTTAAAGATGCTAAGTACAAAAACAATAATTCTAAATCACAGAATAAAAACTAATTTTCATTGTGAGATTATCTACTTAACTATTTATTAATCTTTCTAAAATAAGTAGAAGTCTTATTTACTACTACAATAAAATCGTGGGTCAGATACTGAAGTGGGCCAGACTTCACCGTGAATGATTTAGTCAATCTAGTGGATCAATGTTTCAAACCCTGACCGGAAAACAAAAAGAATAACGTAATAGTATAAAGTCTAAATAGTCTACTACTTAGACTAGAACAAGCTCGTGTATCGGATATACCTATGGATGAGCAGTACGACAGGAGATGTTTGGGGTTTGGTGGTACTCACTCCATAGATCCCTATTGGTCGAATGTTTACGCTTAAAAAACCCGAATATTAATAGTTATATATAATACCGTGTTTAGTAAATAATTAAGAATTTGGATAAATTGTGCTGAAAAAATTTTAATTTGCTAAAACGTATCGTGAATATGTCTGTTGTTACAGATGGCTCACTGTAAAGGAGTGTAATAATGTTGAATATTCTTATATTGTTTATGGGATTGCTTCGATCAAGAGTTCCATACAGTGAAAATCTAGGGGTAATTTACTCCCTGCATGTGGTTGATTAAATCGAACTCACTGGATACTCATAATTACTTTATTGGTTCTCTAAATACACTAATAGAGAGAGTACCCAGTTGACGGATGACAACACTAGCTTCGACTGTTAACTCTTCATTCTTAATACTAATGATCTACTCCCATTGTTACCATAGCAGACGAAGTTTTAAAATCAGAAAAAAAGCCAGTAAAGAAAAAGGATTGGATGACTGATAACATATTAGACCTTATTCAGCAAAGAAGAAATTGTAAAAATAAAGATGCGACTCGATATAGAGAAATATATCGACAAATAAGATATGAGGTTAAGCAAGCAAAAAAAGGAATGGCTGGAACAGAGATGTCGTGAGATGGAAGAACTACAAAGAAAACATGACGAGTTTAATATACACAAAAAAATTAAAGAAATTAAATACACTCAGAGAAAAATAACTCCTCACTTTATGAGAAACTCCAAAGGTAAAATTATTCTCGACTTAAACGAAAAAAAGGAAAAATGGACCAACTACATCAAAGAGCTCTTCCTGGATACGAGGCCAGCACTTAACGCCACAAAGTATACGAATACTGGTCCTAGGATATTAAAAGCAGAAGTAGAGAATGCCATCAAACAACGCAAAAATGGGAAATCTCCAGGCCCGGACCAAATACCATCAGACTGGCTCAAACTTCTAGACGATGACAATGTCTCAGAGCTAACAAACATTATAACCACATATACGAAACTGGAACACTGCGACAAATATGGTTGGAGTCTACATTTATTCCACTTCTAAAAAAACCCAATACATTATCATGTAAAGACTTTAGACTAATTAGCCTCATGAGTCACGTTCTCAAGCTACTTCTTAGGATAATTCTTAATAGAATCAAGCAGAAATGTGAAGACATAATGGGAAATAAACAATTCGGTTTCAGAGAGGGATTGGGAATAAGGGAAGCTTTGTTCTCAATGCTAACACTACTTCAACAATCATGGGAAGTACAGAAACCAATTTACTTCTGTTCTATAGATTTTGAGAAGGCGTTTGATAGGGTTCAACATGGTAGGCTGTTTGAATATCTAGAAAGAATTGGAATAGATGATAAAGATCTGAGACTTTTACAACATCTATATTGAAATCAAGAAGTTTCTATTCTGGTAGACGGCAAATAAACAGAGACAAAATTTGTATTCAAAGAGGTGTTAGATAGGGTTGTGTGTTGTCCCCAACTTTGTTTAACGTTTACTCAGAAATAATTTTTAACAAAGCATTGGAAGGGCAATGTGGAGTTCGAATCGGGGGAGAAACTATCAATATCATAAAATATGCAGATGACACCGCAATCATGGCTGAAAGTATCGAAGATCTTCACTTCCTTATAGATCGAGTCAGTAGAGAATGCTCTAATAACAAACTAAGCATAAATACAACAAAGACAAAGTTACTTGTGGTTAATAAACAAGACCTCGGCGCTATACAACTAATTATCAATAATGAACCGATAACAAAAGTTAACCATTTTAAATATCTAGGATGTTGGATAAACGAGACACTAAATCCGAATGAAGAAATTAAAACTCGTATAGAAATTGCAAGAGGAGCATTTATGAAACTTAGATCTATTCTGAGCAATTCTCAGCTGAACTTACAGCTGAGAATTAAGTTCCTAAAATGTTGTGTATCCTGTATTACTGTATGGATGTGAAACCTGGATTATGAAGGTTAACATGATGAACAAATTAGAAGCCTTCGAGATTAAGTTATATCGTAGAATGCTCAGAATATCATGAGTTCAACACATTTCAAACAGAGAAGTCTTGAACAGAGTAGGTCAAGGTGAAGGTGACTTAATAAACATGATAAAAAAGAGAAAACTCGAATATCTGGGGCATATAATGAGAGGAAGCAGATACAGGATAATGCAGTTGATACTCAACGGAAAGATCGACAGAAAAAGAGGAATTAGTAGGAAGAAATACTCATGGCTCCGAAACCTTCGTCGATGGACTGGCTTATCAGCAGATGAATTATTACATGCCGCGCAAGATCGAGAACGATATTGGCAAATCGTCATGGAGGGCACGGTACTCAAAGAAGAAGAAGACTCCCATATTTTCCAGCTATTTAACTCACATGTGTTTGTTTATATAATATTGTTTTACTAATATACTTTGTACACATTATTTAATAAGCGTTTGATTACATTGCAAATTTCACTAGGTCAGAGTGTGTTCTAGTGGCTTCCCACGATCGGCGATTCTACAGATCTTCGCGGACAGCCGATCAGCACGGACGGCAACGCACCGCAGACAGCTCTTCCTACGGTCCGTGACAGTCTGTGTAGGTCCGTGACAGTATTGTTTGATTATATCATAAAAAGGCCACTCAGGCTCGTAAACATCATCAGCCCCACTTCCAGTTCTCATCGATTCTCTAACTTTTGTTTTTTGCCTTTTGTATGTCGGAATTTAATTATTTCTCTTTTTTTTTAATTCTTTAATCGAAATAGTACTATTCTTCAATTGATTTTTTATTCGGTTCGATGCATCGTTGCGGTTCGTATGCTCTGGCGCAGTGGAATTTCATAAACTTGGTTCATTTTGATACAAATTTAAAAAATCAAAAATAACGTCGTTTGTCCATTCCATTTTTTAGCAAAAAACTGCAAAACAACTTTGACAACACTACAGACAACTACTCGTGTCAGCGAATGAAAAACTTCTGACTTGCACTTGTCTGTTAAAACACAGACGCGCTAGGATCGCGTTGCACGAGCATATACCGCACCTTTGATGTTACCGACTCTAGATGGATAGGTCGCACCATCACGGACGTGCCTGTGCTACCACGGACGAGACCTTTCCCACGGTGCGTGGTGCGGGCTGGTCCGCTTACGTCCGCAATATCGCCGACCGTGGGAAGCCGCTATTCCAATTACATCGATATTTTCAATAATAAACAATCGCGTTTAGAAATAAGCAATTATTAATGTTATTCAAAGGATTTTAAATTTTTAAACTGAATTGGGTTACTTGGATTTTATGCTTAATAAAATCCCGTTACAGGAGGGCATATTACCAATTAAATTATACGGAGAGGAATCAAAATGTTGTGAACCGATATTATTTTGACTTTCTTATTTGTACACAGCTTATTTGATTTGCACCTCGCACAATTCGTATATTATGGTATATTCTTCATAAATGGAGAAGTCATCTTCTCCATTTTCTTATCAGAGTATAGTGCCACATAAGAGACATAATCTTATACTACTTAATAAACTAACTAGACAAACTACACTTATTTATGTGCGGTCATAACACCAACAATTTTTGTTCAAATTAAATACTTAAAGTGAATTAAATTTAACAATAGAGTCAAAAGTTTACGATCTACATTATACGATACGTCAGAACTGTTGATCAATGAACTTGTTGAGCAGTGCTGATTGAAACAACAGAGCAGTAAAATGTTATTCATAAAGGTAGTGTAAAGTATATCACCGCTTATCTGGTCCGCTAGTAATAAAGTTACCTGCATTTAATTGCAAAGCAGTCTTCTTAGGTGAAAAATACTTTATTAAGGCATTAAAGTGCAATAAATCTATTGCTCATTTGTCATACCAACTTTGGCACTCTTTTTCACTATAACCAATATATTTATAACCATATTTCCATCTATTTTGTTAGAGAAAAGAAGTTCATACCCAAACGGCGCATGTCATGATGTTTTGTACAGTAAAAGGAACTGGAAAAATTTTAGCTAGTAAGCGTCCGAGAATTGTTCCCAGATTAATTCAACTATGTCAAAATAAGGAAAATGTTAATACACAATTATTTGCATTACAGGTAAATCTTAGTTATAATACACTACTTAGCAAAATTAACCAGACAACAAGTTTATTTTAAATAAAATTAAAGAGTATTAGAAAAAACTTATGTTAAGTATTGCATTGTTACCCTGGTTATGTGCAATTGAGCATTGTCCTGTATTGTGAGACAATTTTCACCTACAAAATGCGTATGAGGTACCACAGGTTCTTCTAAATATTCCTTAATGTACATAAAATAACAAAATCTGTATGTGCTTATCAATATCTCAAAGAAATTCCACTTCATATCAATATATTTTCACTACCAAGCTGTACCCTAGAAGAGAAGCAGCATTGAACATAGCGTTTTCCATGTCTTCTTCACACTCTTTGGCGACCATCATATCATTTGGTAAATATATCGTAAAACTAGACTCGTCTGTAAATAGAACGTTTTACCAATCTTCCATAATCGAATTTGTATAAGCGTCAAAGAGTTTCCAAACGTTGGCTTCGCTGAGGTCTTTGTAAAGCATCGGATGATAGTATACTTTACAGAACGCCAAGCATTTCTTCGATATACGGAATGGAACGCCCCTAATTATATAAAGGCACTGTATATTAGAAGGTATATTTTGCAAGGCACTGTATATTAGAAAAAAAAATTATATACTATTAATATGTTATTAAATTATTTTATAAGGGAATCTTTTTAAAGGAAAAACTACTTCTCCTTCAATTCCATTGTACTACTCATCATATCTGATCTGATCTGTTAATATTAGTACATCATCAGATGTACTATTATTCTCACATCAACATTTTCTTTACCTGTGGGTTCTTTCTTCTTTTTTTTATTGGCCTTACTTCTCAGTTAATTATCCCATCTCTACCATTCTACATTTTACTATATTAATGAATTGTTTTCCTACTAGATTATTCTAGTAAAACTTGTAAGTAAAAATAAATATATTGCCGAAATTTGAGGATTTTATTGGTCAAACATATACTTTATCTAATTTACTTACCGTTGCACGTCATCCGCATCATAGTCCGTGAGATCACATGATAGACGAAATATTTAGGCGGTAGGTGTGTTCTTTTTTAGAATCACTTTGCCGAGTACACTGGCATTACAGCCACTAGACATATTTTATTATATACGCGTAGAAATTATATTTAAAGATTTCTATTAATGTTACCTTAAAGAAATACACAATAATATGTTTCATTTAATTTGTGTAAATACATTATAAACCGTTTTTATGAAGAACATTTGTTTGGAACACGCTGTAACTGTAATCGAACGAAGGTGATATTTTGGCATAAATTGGTAACACTTATTTGACAGTTGTGGTGTTGACACTTTTTGTACTTTATTATTTTGAAGTTTAAAGTGAGTACCTCTTGTTTTATATTTTTACCTATATAATAAAATCTGTTCATTTTAGAACAAAATTAGTGTGTTTTATTTCAAAAATGTCAGGTAAGAATTCAAATAGTCGTTGTAAAGAGATGGTAATACTTTTGCAATAATTATGTGACCTATTTGATCTAAAATGGAGTCAGGTTTTTTATACTTTGGCAACTATGCCAACTTCGATCTCTGTCAACGATAATGACGTGCAACGGTAAGTAAATTGGATGAAGTTTATTGTTAATCTACAAAATTTCTCCAATTTTCTCTATATAGGGTGTGTATTATGCATCTAGAAGGCATGCTTGTCCTGTCTAAAATTTTGCGTTTTATTCACATCTTTGAGCATTATCACAGAGTTATCTGACAATCTGTCAGATAATCAAATAGCCAAACACAAACTCGAAGACAAGGGCAGGCACTCTCATTCATATTTCCCACCGCGAAGTTTATAACGCCATCTACCTTGGATGGAAGAAAATTTAAACCATGATTTTTCTCCCAACTATGCACCGACCGCTAAAATTTATAATACCTCCAATCTGTTGAGACATAAATAATGATCTTTCATGCCATCTATAAGCATAATATGTCACTATCTATAGTTTTATAATTTTTAGGCATTGACTAATATTTGTGAGCATCCAGCTATAAGAAAGCAAATAAATACAGAGTTTTCTCACGAAGTTGAAAAAATTCAGGTTGGTTTTGATCCAAATATCAAAGTACACAAAGACAAATTATTGGAAGTTATATCTTGGACACCGCATACAACTTAATGTAGAAGGAAATAAAATATTATGCATAACTTAATTGTAATTTCTTTTGAAATTCACTCTACTTAATTTACCTCGAATTAAAAAAAAAATGAAGAAAATTGCCTCATTGGAAGCCGAGAAAATTAATTTTTTTTAGATACTTACCGATTTTGATATTTGAAATTCAATTTTCTTTTCCCTAATTTATTTAGTATTTTTCACGCGATGATTTTTATTATTATAATAAATGTTATAAATTATTTGAAGATATGAATCATTGGCGTATCAAAGATAAAATAAAAGGCAGCTAACGCGCAACGCTACTGCTTTGAAGTGTCAGCTGTATGAGATTTTAAAGCATGCGTCGATATAGAATTTTTCCACAATTTTTCATATAAAAATGAGTGCACACAATGAGTGTCATTCAAGATTTTCGACGTCAGAACTTTACAGCGTTGTCAAAATATCAGAATAGTTATAAGTGAGAAATGTTTAAAATATCCTATTTAAGAATACAATACACTAGTCAATTGGATATTTAAAATAACGAAAATAATCACACTTTCAAAATTTCAAAATTGATGTTAAAAGTTAAATATTTTTAACAGTTAGAGAAATATTAACAGTAGATACACAGTTTTAAGACTACTGCAATACACTAAAATACATAAGAAAACATTTTAATACAAAATTATATATTCTAAATTTTAAACTTACCTTTTTTGGAGCATTAATAGTAAAAACTTCCCGCCATTATTTCTTGTTCAAAATAATCTATTCAAGCTTAGGCAACCACCATTACTTCACTGAGAAATATAAGGTGCATATATTTGTCCATCGTAATGGAGAAGGGTTCTAAAAGGGTTAATATTCTTTATTGACAAAACATAAATCATATTTTCATTTTAACCATATTTATTTTGTAAAAGTATAAGTTTACAAATGCTTAGATATCAATAAGTTGAATACGGGGGATAGCCATACTCTTGGTACATATTATTCCAAAACTTTATTTTTGATGAGTTAGGAAGACCAACAACCTTTAAACTTTTGTTGATCTCCAGGTACTTGAGTCTATCAGCTGTGCTAACTTTGGAATTAGCTGGCCAGATTACATTTTGTAGCAAGGAATCTTTTGAAGGAGTGGGATTGCCTTGTTTGATAAAGTTAGTCCAGAGTTTAACTGTGCGCGAACGTGTTAGATAATCTGCTTCACTGCCTTTGTGACCGAAGTCAAAAAGATAGCCCAGGTCTTCGGTGTGGCCAACACCTACAAAACAGTAAAATATATGCAAAATAAATCTTTCAGAAAAGTTTTCTGTAACTTGGATTTATATGGGACAGTTTATTCATCAGAAAAACCATGCTTTGCTAGACTTTGTATATGAAATTTGTTTAATATCTGCTTATTTTTGTGATTTCAACGTACTCGTCTAACATTAGAAATACGTAGATATCTACAAATTCAAACGCATACAACAGCATAGCAACACAGCATAGTGTAATGTGATACCATAGTATTAGCTTATAGAGATACTACCTACTTACCTATGCATAAAAAAAACGGTTTGTCAGTACATATATTCGAAATTTGTTTAATTTCAGCAGGTTATCACAACTTTAGAAACAAGGGCATTAAATATTCTGCTGACTTTAAGTGAGTTAGAATTTGTTGATACCTGCGCATGATGATAATAGATAAGTATCTTAAAATTGGAAATTTGAAGTAAATGGAGTAAATCCAGAATTATTAATTAAGTACTAAAAGTAATACCGGGAAAAATCAAATCGCAAACAATTAGTGACAGGATGTTACATTATCTCGTACATCAAATGTGTCAACGGAAGAAGAAGGACTGGATTAATGTCGAAATACTTATGTCAATGGGGGGAGAGGGTGAAAGGATAGGAAGATAATGCAAAGTGTAAAGGAAAATTATTTGAATGTTAAATGTGGTGAAATAGAAAAACTACAGTAATTACACGACAATGTATTAAAGAAACTACTTAAAAAAATGCAACATACTAATAGACGGCAATGAGAAAATATTAGTGGATACAAAGACAAAAGTTAGAAAATGGAAGAAATATAAAGAACAGCTATCCCAGGATGAAAATAACGAAAAAACAGAGAGCGGGCTAACGATAAGAAATAAAGAGGTCATATAAGCACTTACGAATATAAAAATGAGAAAACTTCGGATCCTGCTAGATGCATGTGAAACTTCTAAAGTTGTTGGACGAAGACAATATATTGAATGACTTACCTTTAATATTATTATAAGCCATAATACACTTAAACTATTTTCAAACAATATACATAATACAAATATATACAAAAAGTTAGATAATTTCATAAGCAATATTCAGATCGAATTTGGCAATGAATTGGAATCTAGGGAGGTTCTGTTAAACATGGACGAATTAACGCATTGCTGTTTGGAGTTAATCAAAGGTAGCTTAGGAGTTGACAGTGCACAAAATGACCAACTCATGACAAATTTGAAACAAAAACAAATAGATAAACGAAACATAAAAATATTCTTCTTCTTAGAGTGCCATACCCCTACGGAACGTCGGCGACTACCATGCTTATAATATTGTTATACTGATCTCGGTCTTGCGCTACGTGTAGCAGTTGGTCCGCTGTCAAACCTGTCCACTGCCGCAAATTCCTCAACCAAGAGAGTTTCTTCCGTCCTATCCATTTCTATCCTTCGATTTTACTGTTGAGAATTAGCCGAAGGAACTCATATCTTGGTCCTCTGATTATATGTCCAAGATATTCTAGTTTACGCCTCTTAATAATATTAAATATAAAAATATTAGAGAACCTAAAATAAAAACCAGATATCGTACATAAAATATATAACACATCACCAAAAAAAGTCAACAATAAATAAAAGATACCGTAGGGGTGCACTATTCATTCCTAGTTCCTAGACACTGCACAGAGAAATACCTTGAATGTTATGAAACGGAATAACTATCATTAACTTGCAATATTTGGACGATATTGTGTTAATGAAGGAGAGCATTGATAATCTGAAAGTTAAAAAAAATCGGAATAGTGACTTCAAAATTGGATTAAGAACATAAGTTGAATTTGCACATAACTCATTTATTAGCCTAAAGAATCTATAACTTCGACTGGAAGGCTATTTAAATCTGGAGAACACCCGATTGTAGAGAAAATATTGTCTGGTTTTTATACTTTTTAAGTTTAGTTAAATCAAAGTATATGTAGTCTCTCCTAGTCTAGTGCTAGGTTTGAGTAAAGTCTTTAGGCAAACCTAGAAATAAATTTCATTTTTAGTCTGTAACTCAAGTGTCAGATCTAGAAGTTCCTAACTTTTTAGTCAAACGTCGAAAGAAAAATATTCTGTTTCAGGCTTTGTCTCGACGATCCTATAAATAACTGACAGACTCGATCTAACATCGATTTGTCAATCTGACAAAGCCTCTGAAATGTCGTAGTTCTATTAAAAGAATAAAATTCTTCAACTGTTTAGATTACTTCTTCAAATGTGATTTGTTGTATGTGCCAAAAAAGAGCTCAAACGTACACACTTGTATAATTTTCAGGGTGTACGTACATGTTGTGTGCTCTGACAGCACACTTGGTGCAGACTCTGAAGGCTTCGAAAGTAAAGTTACATGTCTGCACAGACAGAAAATATAAAATAAATAAAGAAAAGGCGATTGTAGAGCTTAATGCTCAGGCTAATGTTAATGAAACAATTAACTGAACAAAAATTTCCACCAATTCCGATAATTGTAAAAACTCTTCAATATAATAATGGACGAAATAATATACAAGCAGTACGTAAAGGTCATGGTTAAAAAATGAGGAACAAAGAAATCCAAATATTATGTTATGCAGACGACGCCGCATTAATCGCCGAGACACAAGACGAGCTCCAAAGATTAACACACATCTTCAATATAACAGCCAACAAATACAATATGATAATATCAGCAGAAAAAGGGTTTAGATATCTGGGAATAGATATAACTAGTTACGGAGATGTTAAAGAAGAAGTACGACAACAAAGCTTAAAAACAAGAAAATTGGTGGGATCTCTTAATGACACAATCTGTAAGAACGAACACCTAAGACAAGACACAAAAACATGAATCTATAAAGCAGCAATTAGACCTATATTAACATACACGTCGAAGACAAGACTTGACACATCTAAAACGAGGCGACTACTAGAAACAACAGACACGAAAATACTTCGACTAATATCAGGTAAAAATCTGTTGAATGGGGAGACAAGCGAAAACATAAGAAGAAGATGCAATATAGAAGACATAAATGGATGGGCCACAAAACCGAAACAGGAGTGGAACCAACACATTAATAGAATGGCAGAGGATATAATAGTACCAATAGCACGAAATAAGTTACCAACTGGACGAAAAAGTATTGACAGACCAAGAAAAAGCTGGCGCAATAATTTAAAAAATTTAAGAGGCTAATATTGAAGAAGAAACAGGCTTTAAATCCTACATACAAGAAGGAAGAAGAAAAAGAAGAAGAAGAAGCGATTGAAAAAACTGTGTAACCATACCCATACTCATATTTGATAGAGCCAAAGGAGATACTAAAAATGTTTTGAGTATCATACAGATAAAACAGTTGACGGTTTATACAGAGTAGGGACAAAACACGAATCAATAAACACACTTTTTGAGGAATCAAATACAAGATTGCAAAGAGCAAAACTTAATGAACAAAATAAAGAAAACAAGTAAAAAATATGGACTGGATATAAACACCAGCAAAACCAAGCTAATGATCATCAGCAAGGAAAACATAACTGGAGCAAATCTGTATGTGAACCAAATGAGCATTGAACGAGTATCACAATACAACTACTTGGGAACTATAATCAATGAGTCGTGGGACAATAGCCAAGAGATTAAATGTCGCATCGGAAAGGCAAAGAGTGCATTCTTGACTATGAGTTCTGTGTTCAAGAGCCATGACCTCACCCTAGAAACAAAAATAAGGCTCCTTAAATGTCATGTGTACTCAGTGCTTCTTTACTGAGTAGAAATGTGGATATTGAAGGCGGAAACTATAT